GGAGTGTTATCTTTTATCATCTTGGGGATTGTGTCCTCAAAAAGATCCCATCTGATATGCAGATCCAGTTGGTCATCGTGATTTAAGCAAGTGGAGCCTTCTAGATCTTGCCGGACCTTCTCAAAACCAGTTCTCCTGTAATTCCTGACTAGTTGCTGGTCGGGAAGCGGGTGGCTCAGATGTAGAAATGCTGAAGGAAATAACGCATGGTCACTCAATCCAAGAGGGCTAGGAACATTCAAGTTGGTTACCCCAATGGACTGGCTTGTGAAATCTAATCTAGTCGGGACGCCTTGCGGTCAAACCCCCAGTGAGTGCGCTGGGAGACATGTTCAGTCGAGGAGTTCTCCGGTAATAGTTCCCGAAAGTCATTTAAAGCAGCAGACGGACTTTCAGTGTTAAAGGGTTGAGGAAAGTTGAAATCTCCTATAACCGGGACCTGTGGAAAGCTCATGGGTGTACGCGGAAGATTACCGGTTTGGTTCAGAGATTAATTTCATAACTTGAGAATAAAGATATTTACTTATTCGTCATCTTTACAAGGGGTTTCTGTTAGTCAGGGTTGACTCCTCTCCATCTAACCGGTTCCTGATGCTAAGCGGTGTGCCTCAAGGTTCTATTCTGGGCCCACTACCGCTTTTATCAGTGACCTACCAGCAGCCCTTAGTTCTCATTCGCTTTTATATGCCGATGACCTGAAGAGTTGGAGGGAAATATAGGTGACAACGGATATTTCGGTCTTCCAGGTAGGCCTACGAAAATCTCAAATTGGATTGCAGAAAACCTGCTTCCTCTCAACTCTCAAAGAAGTGTTGGATAATGATAGTTGACAGTCACAAAAGCAGTCCCCGTTCTTACTCTCTAGGTGAAATAAATATCTGTCACCCTAACGTGGAAGAAGATCCGGGGGTTACACTACGTGACACACTAAGAGCCTCAGTACACTGTCGCCTGGCAGCCAACAAGGCCTATGGAGTCTCGGGGTTTCACTCGCAAACTTTAGGGGTCTAACTCCTTCTCAGCGGTTGTTACAGCACCATCCCCTGATACTTTTAAAAGGGGGTTAGACGCATACCTTGAGTCCTGCAGTACCGACGGGCTGTACTCGAGAAGCTTCTCGTCATCTGCAGATCGGGCGCAGTAGTACAATTTTGAGACCAGACTGATCAATAATTAGTTAACCTCTATCCATTCAGGCTTTTCGGAACCGGGAAGATAATTGTGGCCATTTTAAACCCAGAACGTATTCCAATAAGACAAACATAGAACCTTAAGGAACCGCTCCTCACTAATTCTACAACACGATGTTCGAACTTTAAAGTTTCGGGGACAAACCAAGTTAAGAACGCATCCAGAGGCGCTTGAGCGAGCCTGTTCAAGGACTTAGGTCTGAAACATATAAAGAACGACTGGTTTGGATTCGGATTCAGATTTGCTGTTTCAGGATAGGAGTCTGGCAGCCTGAATTAATCTTGTCCCAGTGGATTTCTGGGCTCGTCCAATCCCTTCTGAACGAGTCAATTGATGATGCGGACACCACCCCTTCTGGGAGTCGGTTGGGGTCAGTTAGTGTGCAAAAGTTTTCAGGTCATGACTAACCGTGGCTCCTAGGTCATTGTGGGTCAGTACTGGCGGTAAAAGAGTCCCATCAATATCGTAAGTGTTGCTTTGTGTGTGCCTCAAGTGCGTGCTAATACATTTACCCGCATTTATAGGCATCAGCCGCTTCTCTGACCAGGTAAACAAGCTGTTGGGTCTGCCTGAAGCGCACGTATATCCTCATCATCCCTGATTTCCCGCCAGATTTTGACATCATTGGCGTAAGGAACCATGGGGGATTTCATGGTGTTTGGCGGTTCGTGTGGGTATAGGAGAAACAGTAGGGGGCCCAGGATTGTGCATTGCGCCACTTCACTCTCTACCGGCTTCCAAGTGGAGACTTGAGAATTGATCCTAACTCTTTGTCTCTTACCAACAAGAAAGTCTCTCATCCATGCGAGCAGACTGCCAGTGATTACAAAACTTCCCAGTTTCCTGAGCAACCTGTAATAAGGTACTTTGTCGAACGCCTTACTAAAGTCAATGAAAGTGACGGCTACAGGTATTCGGTCATCTTTGGACTTACACAAACTTTCTCTGGCTGCTAGAAGTTTCGTCAAGCAAGAGAAATTTCTACGAAAATCATGCTGTGAACGAGATAATAGGGTGTTGCTCCCTAGGTGGACTATGATGGCTTTCTTGATTACTCTTTCTAGGATTTTCGCTACAGCACTAGTCAAACTTATCGGTCTGTAATTTGATGAGAGCTGCCTAGAACCTGCCTTGTGGATAGGTGTTACTATGGCATCGTTCCAGTCACAGGGGAGTGTGTCTTCACTGAGAGACAGTCTGAATATAGTAGTCAATGGGCCAGCTACATGGAGTGCAAGCTGTCTGAGCAGCCTCGGGTGCAGCTCACCCGGTCCTGTTGATTTTTCTACATGGAGAGTACTTTGTGTCCAAAATACATCATTACGATCGACATCCACGGAGTTTATAGCTTCCATATTCGCCTTCCATATGTTGAGTATAGCTGGAGCATCGGCCTGGTACAAGACGTCTGCGGTGAATCTGGGGATGACCACAACGTGATTACTTTTACCAAGGGGTGCTAGGTGCCGGGTGAAGCATACATCATCTGTATGTGAGAATACTGAGTCTAGAACTGATGGATTATTCTGATGATCATATCTAGTTGATGTCGTGATATGCTGTATGGGGGCTAAGGGAATTAATGTTTCCACCAAACGGTGGCGGACGAATTACGTGGTGCTTTTATTGTCAGTCTATCCCAGTCAACTGACGGTGTGTTGAAGCCTCCTACAGCTGGACATCGACGTTCATCTTTCCAGAGGGTCGGCTTACTCAGGAGGAAGTCTGCTTCCTCACAGTCAGGGCCTCTATATATTACGAATAAGTTAACATCTTGCCCCTTGCATTTTAGTCTGCAGCGCAGCATTTCACATGTCCCAATTTCATGTGCAACTGTTTCTACAGCCTTCACATGTAAGCTATTCTTAACGTAAAGGATAATGCCACCAACTTTGCGTGCTAACCTGTCACTTCTGGGAGGGATGAATCCCCGTAAGTGTGTTTCACAGTCACTGATCCAAGAAGAGAACCAAGTTTCTGAGATAGCAATGATGTCAGGCTTTCGTTGCTTATCACGTTACTAAGCTCAGTCCACTTGTTTAAAAGACTACGTGCATTTGTGTACAAGATAACGAAACTACTTAAATGAGTCCCCATCATATCCAAAGAGGCTTCGGCACCATTTGTTGCCGAAACCTCACTACACGAAGACCCACAACTTTCAGATCTTGCTCTCCAGGTGCTAATTTCGATTTTAGTTCTGCCACTGCTTCTCGTTGCTCGATTCGATAAGCAAGGGCCAGATCCTTTTGCACGAACACTCCAGATCCCTGAAGTTCATGTACATTCTTCAGAATCTTATACCTCTCATCTGCTGACTTGAACACCACTTTAAGTAGCCGAAACTTATTTTGAGGGATGATTGTTTCCTGTTTCCCAACTCTATATATCTTGAGTATGGTGACTCCTGGCATGTTTTCTGGTAAACGCTGGTTTGTCAAACTATGTACCTTGCCAAGGTCATGTCCGAAACGTTTACGTGGTTCTGGGTCTCTACCTTATTCACTCTGTGGAAAATTACGGACCTGTCTGGGGTCTCTACTTTGTCTTTGCCATGTGGAGTGATGATAGCTGACTCGGTTACCGTTATTGGATTCTTAGCATGTCGTTGGGGCTTAGTTATTTGCCATTTTTCAGGGTCGGGCATGCAAGGTGTAGTAAAGCCTAGTCCAGTGACCTTGACACTGAGAGCCTCAGAATGGACTTGCACTCCAAACTGCGTGGTCTTCGTGAGTGATTGGGTTGCCGAACTGGGTATGACCAGCGGCCTGCATGGCTCCGTCGTTGGAACTGAGAGCCCCTCACTCCTGTTCCTTTCATCTGGAGTAGACCTGGTCTTAAGTCCGGCAGACTGGGTCTGCCAGCCCTGGGGATGCGAGATCCAGAAGATACTCGCCTCACCCTGCTTAGTGTAGTCTTTTTCAAGTCGCTGTCAGCAAACCTAGTAGACAGTCTACGCGCCCAACTTACAGCTTGTCGTGGAAGTTCCTAAAGTTTTGCACAGAAACCCGTGTGTCAATGAATGCTGTATCATCATCACCATCACAGTTCAGTTTCAGTTTACAGTTATAAGTATAATAGTCCAGTTGGCCTGTGTTAATCCTTGCGGAAGATATCCCTGTGAAGATCTAGTTTCTCCTTGAACGCGTTGACAGAAGGTGGTGATACTACTTGCTGAGGTAAGGAGTTCCAGCTGTTGACACCACGATGGGAGAAACGTAGATTCACACTAAGTTGACTCGATCGCGGTTATCGTCCTTGACATTCGAAGACAGTTTCTTAGTAATGGTTGTGCTTAACCTGTATCCCTTGGAATATAGGAGGCTCAGAGGAAACTTCATAATGACTCACAACATCTTGAGGACACCTGGAAGCTCACCCAGTCACTTACTGAACCTCTGTTGTAGCACCAGCCTTAGAGAAACGGCCCAGAACATAGTATGTTACACACCGAACACAACTTCTATTCTCAAAGAGTTGTTAGACCCCGGAATACCCCTCTTGTAGAGATGATCCGGGATACTGGCGTGTATCCACTTAACACCGGTTTGATACTTGGTTGAGACGGGGAGGGGATCTGCTCAGAACTGACTGAATTTTCAAAATGCTACGGCGAATTTCGCTCTCTCCTCAATTTTACACACGTTAACGACAACAAAAAGTAGTGATACACGAATTTTAGACGCAGATTCCGGTAACACGAAAGCTTCTTCTATCCCGCTAATAACTATTTGTACCGTTTGGAACATTTGTTTAGCACCAGCGACAACTACCGTAACCATTCTAAGAGCGGGGTTTGTTTTTAAAAAATGTCAAGTAAGGATACGCAACAGAATATTCGTGTGGCTGTTCGTTGCAGGTTAGAGTTCTCACAATTTTCACTCAAATATTGCTTAGACCTTCAAACAAGCAGGAGTTGGAGAAGGGAGTGCGCACGTGTGTGGAGTGTTCGCAGAATAAAGTTACTGTCAAAGAAAAAGGTGTATCTAAAGTTTTCACCTTCGACCATGTTTTCAACCAATTTTCTAAACAAATTGATGTCTATAAGAGTATGGTTGCTCCCATAATTGGCGAGATAATAGCAGGCTACAACTGCACGATTTTTGCGTGAGTTCCATTGCTTACATGTGATTGACCTTTTTTAGCTATGGTCCTACGGGTAGTGGTAAGACATTTACCATGACCGGTGGTAGGTCGGATCAACTCAGATACTCTTGGGAAGGAGATCCGTTGGCCGGCATCATCCCACGTGCGGTCAGTCACCTATTCGAGACACTACAATCGAATGTATGTTGTTCACTGAAGTTCTACATTCTTAGGGATCTGACTTTTCCGTTCGTGTCTCTTTCTTGGAAGTTTATAATGAAGAGCTGTTCGACCTCCTTTCCGCTACGGAGGATGTATCTCATCTTAGCGTATATGATGATTTGAACCGCAAGGGTTCCGTTATTATTAAGGGTCTTCGGGAAGTGATGGTCCTGGATAAGAACGACGTACATAGCGTCATCGAACGTGGTCTTGCCAGACGACAGACGGCCGCAACCCTTTTGAATGCACAGTCAAGGTACTTTACACGCGTTCCTTACTTCCAGTCGTTCTCATTCTATTTTTACGGTTACAGTGCATATAAAGGAAACAAACCTAGTCACTAATGAGGAGTTGCTGCGTATTGGAAAGCTCCACCTTGTCGACCTTGCGGGTAGTGAGAATGTTGGCAGGTCAGGTGCTGTGGAGAAACGAGCTCGGGAAGCAGGATCAATCAACCAAAGCTTGCTAACTTTGGGTCGCGTAATAACGGCACTTGTGGAACGTGCACCTCACATACCGTACAGAGAGAGCAAGTTGACTCGTTTGTTACAGGTAATTAATTGGTTTGCAATTGTTTGTTAGTTGGTTTCATTTAGTTGGATGATTAAATAGACGGGTGACGAATGAACCCTTATTAGCGACATATAAGTTTGTATAAGTGGCAAAGTTGGAGATGTGACGAATTTCGGTTGGTTTGATAGTACGAAATTAAGGTGTGCGTTGGTGGCATGTAAGGAGGATTTGGAATATGTCAGTGGTTGTTCACTTTGGAAAGTTAGTAAAGTTTCATAATTTGAAGGTGATTACTTGTTTTAGTACGAAGTATTTTGGGCACGAAAGTTGGCAAATTGTGTTAACTGATGCATACGCTTCTGCACGAGGTTGTACCTAGATATTTTGTATGTAATTAGTGTTGTACTTTTTTTCACATCGTTGTTGTAGTCAAGTAATGGTACGGATTAAGAACAAGTATATGTACTAGTCCATGAACCTTCCTCCGGTAGCTGGTAGAATAATGCATTGCCTGAACTTGTAGTCCACCAGTTGGGATTTGAGGACCTCTGTACGTGAACTACGGTCATGAATCTTTGCATCCTTTTAAGATCAGTGTAATATTCATGAAGTACGTTGATAGAGCATCAACCTAATGGCTATGTCAAATCTTTTGTGACAGATGCAAATGTTAGTGATCGCAACTAGATAAGAAACAGCGACATCGCTGCTTAGTGTTGACTAACAGGAAGGTGACGATGAATAGAGTTCACAGTTCCATTCAGATACTGTTCGGTTTTGTTTGGACAGGGTGAGTCGGAATGGAAGTACTAGTTCTCGTCTTCAAAGTATGTTCGTCGTACCGTGAGGCTAACAAGCGAAGAAGTTGCCTAAAGCCTATTCTGGAATCTCGAGAATCCCCTGAAAATCCTTTACGCTGGGTCAAAGATGTCGGAAAGGTGTACTGAAGCGATTAAACAACATCGGAGGCGTCTGTTACAAAAGGCCTATTTTCTATTTCGTCAACTCAACCATCAGGATTCATGTAGATTTGACCGAATAATTCTGGAGAATGGAGTTTGAGAAGTTGGTAGCTTTTAAACCGAACTGTGGTGGACACATGAAGGTCGGCCGAACGTTTCCATTAGAGCACTAAAGATTAACCGAAACGCTTGTAGTTCACGCGATGGATTTACATCCATCTAAAGATTTCTTACTCTTCCAATTCTCATAGTACGCTTGTCGTTGGAATGCGTTTTTAGGGTTGAAGGATACTAATTAGTTATTCCAAGGCCATCTGGTTAGTTGTTACTTATGGCCCCTACCTTTTAATCTTCTTGGTGTCTCATTCCGAAGAAAAGAGTAGAGGATTTGGCGAAGAAAATTTATGGTCACTATAAACAAGTAAGCATCTGTATTGTTGCATAAGAAATGTGGTGTGGTTGTATTAGTGCTGTGACACTGAATGTATGCGCAAAAGACTACGCAATAGTCAGTGAGCTGATGGAAGCCAACGGAAATTGTACCCGAGGAAAGCTTTCGAGTTGTTGGATGTCAGTTTATCATCAACATATTCGTATCGAATGCTAACACGATATTTGTGCTGACAAACTGGAGATATTACCAAAAGTTGGAAGCTTTTTGTGTTCTAATATTCGAAACGCATGTATGTGCAAACCACTAAAACGCACTTGACCACCTTGTGCACATCCATGCAGTAGAATATGAGCCACACCCATTGTGTGAAGACTAATGATACTACCTGCCTGCCCAAACATCGGTAGGTGTAGTGTGGCGAGGTTTGAACTCGTGACCCACTCGTTGATAGTCACGTCCCTAAACCTCTGAGGCATAGTTCCACGTACGTATGTATGTGTTTATATAAGTAGAAGGAAAAGCGTAGAACTTAATGAGATGCCAATTGTCTGTGGACGTGAAGTCTCAGAGCTACATATCTGCTTGAGGTGTTGAAATAATGTAGAGAGAAGAATAACGATCGCAGTGAAAATGACAAAGTAAATACTAGTGTTGAAGGAGTGAATTTCAAGGCTGTTGGAGGACGCATACGACACTTATTTACACAGGTCAGACTTAAGTAAGTGCCTGATACCTCTGCTGCACCTGAAGTTGTGGGTCTTTCGTACCATTTGTCATGTGAGTGATATCGAGGTTGGGTGAAGGGTTATAGAGGAGAAAGGCAAGTCAGTCGGTGAGGCCGTGGATGCACTGAGTAGGAATGTATGTTTGACTGGCATGCGTTTCGCACTTAGTGTAAGATGATACTCCAGAACTGATCTGCAACTACTCCCAGTTTACTGATAGGGAGTGAAATGCGTCGACTACTTCACTTACTTGGGTAGTTGCATCAGCTTAAACAGGGTGTCTGGAAATGATATCTTAGCCCATAAAGAGAGACCCCGTTGTCTGTGGCACCAACTGTTGAGATATCCAACTATCTACCAAAGGACGAGTATACTGCAATGCAGTCCGTTTTGTCCTGTTACACGGCTGTCAGACGGCCGTTGAAAGTAGAGGTGGAGTGGTTACAAGTATTTGATTGCAAGTGTCTTCATAGTGTTGCTCGCGTTTGGTGAGATCACCGTGTGAGCGGCGATGAGATCAAGCCAAGGGTACTAGGTGGGTCGATTGGTGAGTTTGTGGACCTTCATGAACTGAGATAGCTGAGACATGTGTTGCGCATGCCTGGTCACCGTCTACCTAGTCGTGCAATGTTGGCTGATGTAGGTTCAGGTTGAAAATGGGCTCGGGGTGGCCAGACTACAATATGTCACTGTATGAAGTACTTGACTGTCAGTTTGAGCCATGTTGGGAGGTGTAGAGTAGCCGGTTGAAGTATGTGGGACAAGAGGAACCAGTGGTTAAAGATTCCGGCTGATGTGGCTCAGAAGTGGTGTCAGTCGCGCAGACGTATCCACACTTTATCGTCATCTTGACTGCTATACTGAGTTCAACATTTTCTCATTTCTATTAAGTGCTTTCTACTGCTTTTGACAGAGTTTTCTGTCTTCATTGTTTACCCCACTGCCTTGTTACGTGTAGTGATATGAAGTGTGGCAACTCGAACCATCATGGAGTTATCCCTGATCCTATGTTAATATTGATTTGTTGATCTTTGTATGATCGGAGAAGTAAGTGGACTCGCGAAGATATCAGTCTACGTGTGATGAGTTCTTGAGCTCAAACTTGTGTAGTTCCACGTGGGGTAGAGTAATTTAGTGAATTTTAGAACACATGGTTAGTAGACGAGTAAACGGTTTCATCCCCTCCGTATACTGAGTTTCATATGGTGAAGATATTAGCTCGGGAGATAAGTTGTTGATATGGCTCTTGAATTTATTAGATAATTGTTGATAGTCTTTTCGAAATCACACAATCCTTTGACCACACTGCTATACATGCTCATTATCCGAATGTTTTAGGACTCACTAGGCGGGCGGACGAAAACGTCAATCATTGCAACTGTAAGCCCTAGTATGACTTCTTTGGAGGAAACCTTGTCAACACTAGACTATGCTCATCGAGCTAAGAATATTGAGAACCGACCGGAAATCAACGCAAGACTAAACAAAACTGACTTGGTCAGGAGCTATAATGAAGAGTTAGAACGTTTACGACGAGACCTTGAAGCTGCCAGAACGAAGAATGGAATATTTGTGGATGAGGACAACTACCAGACTCTGCAATCGCAACTCGCTGAGCAACGGGTCCGTATATGGTAAGTACAAGGTCATCCTGTAAACAACGTAAGCTAGTGTGTCGTGCTGCATTAAAATATGAATGGTCTGTAATCTTACACCATTGTATAATTCGGGTTGAGAAAACATAACACCATTACGATCTCAGCAGTACCATGAAAATTATCATTTTGAATCTTTACTGCATACTAGATAAATAGAGGAAGGTTAGATGCGGACTGGTTTTTATTTTAGAGTGGTTAGGAATTTTGTAGATAATTTGAATTCCTCGAGCGAATTGAAAGCAGCATTGAGATCAGTTTACTTACTCTTTGGAAACGGCAGTTAAGTAAATGCTGCAATAGCATAGGGGAAGATTCCAACATCAAGGGGTAATGAGTGCTCAAGTAACTAATCTAGCGCTCATGGACTGAATTCAGTTATGTTACTGTTTTTCGCACTTCATAGTTCTGTTGTCTCATTAGTAGTCGGCATGTTCTGTTTCTGTAATCGTATGGGAATTGGTTTACATAGTGTCCAAAATAAGCATGCCGAACTTGCCTCTTCCTAACTTGGCTTATGCACTTAAGCATTGAAATCGCCTACTACGATAACCATATTTAGATGTTTTGATATGTGTAATAAGCCAGACAGTTTCCAGTAGGACTTAATTTCTACTTAATCGGAAGTTCGGTCAGTAGAGTTTTCACTGTATCGACTTTGTTAGATAATCAGCACTAAGCCCTGATCTTTGTTGGTACGTAGCAGGAAGGCGTGTCTCAAGTTTTTGAAGAATTCAGACCGGTATCACTCAAACGTAGCAGTGATGAGTGGCAACAAGTACGAGACCGAAGTTTAGAGGTATCGGTTGATTTACTCTTAATGTGTAAGACGAAATTACTTCCTTATTATCTTTTTTCACTTCCACTTAATTTTCAATTTATGTTTGAGTGAACTTGAGGAAAGACGAGAGATTTTGGAAGAGGAAATCAGTCAAGTTCAGGAACTGTTTACTGTTACTCAGGAAGAACTCAGTGTAACTCGCATGCGTAAAGAGGAGGTGGAGAACGAATTAGTCGCCTATCGAAGAGATTTGGTGAGATTTTGATTCGAGTTGTTGTTGTTGACACATTATGCAATAGATTTGTGTGCATTTTTGCTGTAACAGACTAAATGTAATTCAGACTATCAAGCATGTTACTTTAAAATATGATGTGGTATAACAACTAAATTTATTTAGTCATGAATCAGGCAAAGCATATTGTGTAGAGAAAAAAAAAAGTACTGATCCATGTTGACAGACTATCATTCAGAATATATATAATACCATTTATACCTTATTGGTGTGGTGTTTAAAATGCGTCAGTTTTTTGGACATGAGTTAAGCCCCTTGAAATATGTTCTCATAAGAAGTGCACTTTTTCAACAACGGTTTCACTTAGTGAAACAGCTGTAAACTCGACAAATTGCCTTCTTCAATTCATATATGCAAAGGTTGGTGCTCTGTTCTATTTGAGTACATAGTATTAGTATGTGTAAACGGGGTTAGTTACTTTGCTATTCTCTGCCGCTTGTAATAATTGTCAACTAAGGGCAATGTAGTTGTTTTCTAGCTATCCATGTACATATTGTCGTTCTTAACTGGTGCATAAAATGTCACTTGAGATTGCAATTAAGTGTTTGCGGGAAACTTCATTAGTGGTAGCATTTTTCCGCAATAGCTGAATGTGTTCAAAGATTGATGTTTGTCTTTTGTAAGGGAAGATAAGTGTTGTTAAAGTAAGGATCACTAGTATGTGGGGTACTACACAGGGTTCTCATTGTAATGTAGTTGTAATTTTCAAGTTAATGAATGGTTGTGTGAGAACCCAGAACCGTATCAAGTATTACATAAATGCTAAGCTAATTCATGTGGCAAACAAGCACAAGTACGTTCAAACTATAAAGTGTTTTTACTGATTTCGTCACTCATGCAAAAAGCTTTGTCCTTCTTTGTAGGAAAGCATGCGTGCACGTTTTCTGAAGTTGAAGCAGCGTTACGAGGAGACCGAGTATCTACGTCAAGAACATAAAAAGACGGAATTGCGTCTTCATGAACAAGCGAATTCATTGTTATCGAACTGCTGATTCTGCCATTGGTGATATGAATGGTTTGCATCAGAAGTTGGTTCGTCTCTCTGATCTTGATAAAGAAAACCGTGAGCGTGTAGATACGTTACACAATGCTTGGTTACCTGACCGTTTGGCACTTACAGTGTCTGATATTTCTGCGCTTGCTATGGATGTGAAGGATTTCTGCTATTTTGTTCGTGATAGTGCAAGTAAGTGAAATATAGTTTGAAGTAACTTTGGTTGTCGGTTACACGGTTTAATAACCATGATCAAAGTTCACTTGTTAGAAAGCTGGTTTGCTGCGTATCATATCTGTACTCACGGCCATTTTCGATATTTCCGTTCACAATTTGGAGTTAGTTCATACTTATAAATAACGAGAGACTATTCATATGGAGGCTTTTCATTAGGATACCATTAGCGTTATCACATGACTTTCTGGTTTTGGTTAGCACTATTGCTATTAGTTTCACTTATTGTTGTCGTCTTGGAAAGAATGTTGGTGTTAGTGAGTTCAGTTTGTCTAACCCCAGCAGTAGTTACAATATGTGGAGTATTTTCACTAGATAACTTGCATTTATGGAAAAAGAGTTTCGTGTCTTTTTGTGTGAAATGGCGGTGAAAGTGAGTTCAAAGGCACCTAATGATTGCCAAATTTAGGCACTTGTAAATGCTGTGAAACACCTTGGTTCTAAGAGGTTTTAGGAAACACTTGAGTAGTGTTTTACCCTACTATGTGTTCGCTATCAACTGTATCCGAAGTTATCGAGAAATGACAAGCGACGGTGTTAAGCTTTTTAGGAGAATATTCAACACAGGTTAACGCAATAGTTTTGATGACTTTCAGCATAGTTTATGATTAGTGTACTCGTTTTCCTCAATTTTCTGAAACTGGTTTGTTCACACGACTGAAGTGTCCTAATTACATAACTGAATATGCAATCCTTTAAGAATTGAGTAAATATTCTGCTTTTCGATGAAAGTGATGAGTATTGTTTGTGTTTTCTGTTATGACAACCTTCGAAGATTTGATAAGAAGTTGGTCTGAGGAT